TCAACATCTTTATCCATTCATCTTTCAATGGACATTTAGGTTGTTTCCATGTCTTGGCTATTATATATAGTGTTGCTATGAACATTGGGGTGTATGTATCTTTTTGAATTAGAGTTTCCTCTGGATATATGCCCAAGAGTGGGATTGCTAGATCATATGATAAGTCTACTTTTGGTTTTTTTAAGGAATCCCCATAGTGTTTTCCATAATGGCTACACCAAACTACGTTCCAACCAACAGTGTAGGAGGGTTCCCTTTTCTCCACACCGTCTCCAGCATTTATCATTTGTGAACTTTTTAACAATTGCCATTCTGACTGGTGTGAGGTGATGCCTTATTGTGGTTTTGGTTTGCATTTCTTTGATAATTAGCAATATTGAGCATTTTTTCATGTCCCTGTTGGCTATCTGTATATCTTCTTTGGAGAAATGTCTGTTTAGGTCTTCTGCCCATTTTTAGTTGGGGTGTTTAGTTTTTTTGTTTTTGACTTGTATGACCTATTTGTATATTCTGGAAATTAAGCTTCTATCAGTTGCATCTTTTGCAAATATTTTCTGCTAGTTCGTAGGTTTTCTTTTTGTTTTGTTTATGATTTCCTTTGTTGTGCAAAAGCTTATAAGTTTAATTAAGTCCCATTTGTTTATTTTTGCTTTTATTTCTATTGCCTTAGTAGACTGATCTAGGAAAACATTGCTACAATTCATGTCAAAGAATAGTTTGCCTATGTTTGCTTCTAGGAGATTGATGGTGTCCTGTCTTATGTTTAAGTCTTTAAGCCATTTTGAGTTTATTTTTGTATATGGAGTGAGGGAGTGTTCTAACTTTATTGATTTACATGCAGCTGTCCAGCTTTCCCAACATCATTTGCTGAAGAGACTCTCTTTTCTCCATTGTATATTCTTATGCCCTTTGTCAAAGATCAATTGACCCTGGGGGTGTGGGTTTATTTCTGGGCTCTCTGTTCTGTTCCATTGATCCATGTGTCTATTTTTGTGCCAATACCATGCTGTTTTGATTACTATAGCTCTGTAGTATTGTCTGAAGTCTGGGAGGGTGATGACTCCAGCTTTGTTCTTTTTCTTCAGTATTGCTTTGGCGATTCTGGGTCTTTTGTGATTCCATATAAATTTGAGGATAGTTTGTTCTAGTTCTGTGAAAAATGTCCTGGCTGGTTTGATAGGGATTGCATTAAATCTGTAGATTGCTTTGAGTAGTGTGGTTATTTTATCAATATTAATTCTTCCAATCCATGAGCTGGGATATCATTCTATTTCTTTAACTCACATGTAATTTCCTTTATCAATGTTTTGTAGTTCTCAGCATATAAGTCTTTTACCATCTTGGTCAGGTTTATTCCTAAGTATTTAATTTTTTTGATGCAATTTTAAAATGATTTTTTTTTTTTTACTTTTTCTTTCTGAAATTTCATTGTTAGTGTAAAGAAATGCAACAGATTTTTGTATGTTACTCTTGTATCCTACCACCTTGCTTAATTTGTTTACCAGCTCTAGTATTTTTTGTGTATAGTCTTTAGGGTTTTCTATATATTCTATCATGCATCCTCATATAGTGACAGTTTTACCTCTTCTCTTGCAATTTGGGTCCCTTTTATTTCTTGTATGATTGCTGTGGCAAGGACTTGCAATACTATGCTGAGTAGGAGTCAGAGTGAACATCCCTGTCTTGTTCCAGATTTTAATGGGAAGGCTTAGCTTTTCACCACTGAACACTATGTTGGCTGTGGGTTTGTCATTTATAGTTTTTATTAAGTTGAGATATGTCCCCTCTGTACCCACTTTGGTAAGAGGTTTTATCATAAATGGGTGTTGAATGTTATCAGGCACTTTTTCTGCATCTGTTGAGAGGAATTTTTTTTTTGTCCTTCCTCTTGTTGATGTGGTGCATCACACTGGTTGATTTCCATATGTTGAACCAGCCTTGTGACCCTGGGGTGAATTGACTTGATCATGGTGTATGATCCTTATGTGTTGTTGGATTCTTTTTGCTAATATTTTGTTGGGAATTTTTGCATCTATATTCATCAGAGATACTGGCCTGTAATTTTCTTTTTTGGTAGTGTCTTTGTCTTGTCTTGGTATCAGAGTGAGGGTGGCTTCATAGAATGAGTTTGGGAGTGTTCCCCTCTCTTCGGTCTTTTGGAAGAGTTTGAAAAGGATTGGTATAAGTTCTTTGCATGTTTGATGGAATTTCCCAGTGAAGCCATCTGGTCCTGAACTTTTGTTTGCAGGGAATTGTTGTTGTTGTTACTACTATTATTACAGATTCTATTTCACTTCTAGTGGTTGGTATGTTCATATTATCTGTTTCTTCTTGATTTAGTTTTGGTAGACTATGTTTCTAGAAATGTGTCCATTTCATCTAGGTTGTCCAATTTTTTGGCATAAAGTTGTTTATAGTGTTCTATTGTTTTTTGTATTTTTGTAGTATTGGTTATCACTTCTCCTTTTCCCTTTCTTATTTTATTTGCATCCTCTCTCTTTTCTTCTTGGCGAGCGTTGCCAGAGGTTTGTGATTTTGGTTACTCTTTCAAGAAACCAGCTCTTGGTTTGACTGATTTCTTTCTTTCTTCTTCTTTTTTAAAATCTCTTATTTTATTTATTTCCCCTTCAATCTTATTTCTTTTGTTCTGCTGATTTTAGTTTTTGTTTATTCTCTAATTCTTTAAGTTGGCAAGTTAAGTTGTTTGAGATTTTTCTTGGTCTTTGAGGAAGGCCTGTATTGCGGTGAACTTTGCTTGTCACTGACCTTGTTATGTGAAATCTATTTGATTGTTGTTTTGGCTTCTAATAGCTGATGACTTAGAGAATTATTGGGGCAATTCTGGAAAGTAGTACTAATGCTAAGAAGCATCTTTTATCTTTTCAATTAATGTATTTTTTTCATAGTCTGCCCGAAAACAGTAACAATGATAATAAGGCACCATCGTGCTTGAATTATTTGTTAGTATAGGGAGGTGATATGAACAATGATTTAAATATTCCCTTTCCTTAAAGAAACTGTAATAGGGTGCACTTGTCTGAGGAAGGGAGGGAGGGAGGAAGAGAGGCAGTGGTGAGAGAGGCGGGGAGAGCAAGGAAGAGGTTGAGCTTTTTTGAAGACACTTTGCATGAACAGTTTAAACAGTGATAAAATATTATGATGAAACCCAGTGGGTCAGCTACATTCTTTTCTCAATGAGTTATTGGAGAGATTTGAAAATTTCTTTGTCACAGAACTTCTATTTTCTTAAACAAGTAAGATTTAGGTCATAGGATTAGAATTCTATTAGGCAGAGTTCATCAGTGCTCTAGAGAAATGAGGAATTGAGGCTTAAAAAGAATTTTCCTAGCTGAGATCTAGTCTCTGCCTGCATTGAGGTATTTCTCTCTCAGAGCTGGTTGCAGCTTTGGCCATCCTACTGTACAAACCTTCTATGGGTGCTCTATGAAATTCAAAAAAAAAAATTTTAAGGTCTCTTGCTAACTTAAGTGCAAGATGTAAGACTGGCTATGCTAGGTTTTCTGAAAATGTGTGGCTCAGGCTCTGTTTCCTATTTCTAAAGCTTTAAAGGAATAAAAAGATTACTTGCTTACTAAGTTGATCCGTGCCAGTGATTACTTTTAAAACTTCATCTCCCATCCTCTTTCTCAAACCAGATTAATCACAATCACATAATCAGCTTTCTTTTATGATATTTACTCAACAGTCTACTTACCTATACATACACATGTATACACATATATGCATATATATCTATCTTGATGAATGAGTATCATTGAGTATAATTGAAGAAAGGTGATAAATATGGTTTGAGAATACATATATCTATTCAGGGCACTGATAGGAGGCACTGATTTGATTTCTGACAAGATTCACTTTTACTGTATCTGAGAAAATAAACTGAAGATGAGGATGGTGATGAGACGTTTATATTTCAAGTTTGTAATTATTTATTTCACCATAAACAGCAAAAGTAAACAATATTTACTGAGTAGTGATAAAAATGAAAATGGCAGTTTTTGCCAGGTTTTGTATTGCCCCTAGATCTGGAAAACAGAATCCTTCTGTGTATGGGAGGGATCTGCGGGAGGGATATGAAACTTTGGGCAGGGAAGGGGCAAACTGTAGGAAATTCTAATATCCTGCCAAAATCTGCCTTAACTTCTGGTCCAGTTGTGGGGATTTTTGACAGGTTTTGGCATAGAAAACTGGCACAGAATGTTCTGTTGCTTTTTCATCATTCAAAATAGGTAACTTTGCTTCTATGACTGTACAACATTAGATTAGTATGAGTTTCCAGCTTGGGCACTTTTGCTATTAAAAAGAGTGGTTTAAAGTCTGCAGCTACGTCTTTCTTCATAGTACCGGGTTCTTAACAATCAAAGATAAATGAACCGCCTTTGCCTTTCAGCACAAGTGAGGGGGGAAAAATACACATACACACACCCTGGAGGAAGGAATGGCAGCAAGACTGAGCCCTCCTTAGTAGTTCAATTGAGGGGAGAGAGACTTCTCTGTCGGTTTGTGGGAGTGAATCTAATTACCAGTGTCTTACTTTCATTAATAGGTTGGAGCAAGTTGACTTCTCAAAGGAGGAAGAAATAGACATTATGCCTGAACTCCTAGACTGGATTACGATCATTTAAGCGTGGCTTTCCCAAAAATAGGATTTTTTTTTTTTTTTTTAGTGAGTCTTTTGTGAAGTTGGGCAGGTGGCCAGGAAGAACACCAACTACCGAAAAGCCAAAAATAACTGATAAAACATGTATATTTATAGATGAGAGGACAGAGCATTCTGGAAAACTGAAGAGTATATTTTAATAGATTTTAATGTACCTCAGTCAAATTTAATTAGCTAGACTAACCCTCAGCTGAGAATTTTGAGTGGAATCCATCTCTGCCATCCTGTTTCACTTCTCCTTTTCCACCAGTGATCTGGGAGTAAACGTCAACTTAGATGGCGTCGACATGTTTCTTGACCGATATTTTTGTTTTCTTAGCCGCACTAGCCAAAAATCTGATGATGACTATGAAGATTACGCTTCTAATAAAACTTGGGTCTTGACTCCAAAAGTTCCGGAGGGTGATGTCACTGTCATCTTAAACAATCTTCTGGAAGGATATGACAATAAACTGCGACCTGATATAGGAGGTACGTGAAGGCCTTTTGTGACGTGGGTTACGCCGAGACAAACATGGCTGCCACGTCAGAAGGAAACACCAGCACATTTCAACAACCAGAAGGGTGTAAATAACACTTCCCACTGTATGTTGTTAAAATAAAGAAGGTGTAAATAGCATTTAGGCTTTGGAGTAGAAGGGACATTAAGTTCAAAATGAAGAAAGGTGATGTTCAAGTGAGCTTCAGAGCTAGAAATTTAAATTTTCCTAGACATCACAGACAAAGACTATAGAAGGAAATAGTCTAAACTTCTTTATGAAGCAACATCAGAAACAAGTAAATCACCAGGATTCAATCCCCAGTTCCTCCATTTAAAAAAGCAAAGAAACAAAAACCTCATTAGCCATCCCCAACAAAATAAAATAAGGTGGGACACTGTAGTTCAGTGGTAGAACCCATGCCTAGCATGCATGAGGTCCTGGGTTCAATCCCCAGTACCTCCATTAAAAAGAAGTAAATAAATAAAAACCTAATTACCCACCCTCCAAGAAAAAAAAATTTTTTTAAGATTAAAAAAAACCAAGTAAATCATAGTAAAGAAAAGACATGCTGCTTACCTATAGCTTTGTAACAAACAACCACAAAATCTCATCTAAGCTCAGCTGGGTTAGGGACCCTCATTTAGGAAAGCTGTGCTCTCGTTCCACTCCTGGGACCAGCAGACTAGCTGAGGATGTCCTTCTTGTGACAATAGCAAAGAGCAAGAGAAAATAGAAGCTCACAAGGCTTGATGCTTAGAATTAGAACTAGCATAGTCACTTTCGTCCATATATTATTAGCCAATGCAAGTCAGATGGTCAGTCTTAAAGTTCAGGGGCAGAGATGCAGCCTCATGGATGTGAAGGCCAAGGTGTAGACACAGGGAGGAGTGGAGAATGCAACCCACCGGAGGGAATCAGAGCATGGCACTTCACGGAAAATGGATAAAGATGAGAGAAATGTGCTTGTTGAATTGAAGCCCAGAATATTATGAATCCTTGTTCATTAAATGTTAAATGAAAATGGAGCACATTCATTAGGTCATAGATGTAACACTACATGACTTTTAATACCAGTCCTCTTTGACAAATAGGTATGTATTGGGTTTCCATATGGTTTCCTCATATTATTTGATGAGTCACAGAATTCATTAAATCCTTGAGGAAGATTGATTTTTGTGTTGGCTGGAGATGGATGAGGATAAAGTGGTCATAAAAGGAATCAACAGGGAGCAGTGTTTCAAAAACAATTCATAATTCTTGTTGCTTTTTATGCCTATTTCATGTTTCTAATGCATATTGTTTTCTAGGTCGCTATGTAGTTATTTTTTTCCATATGGGCCAAGTCAGGTTATAGCAGCCGAATGGATTGTAGAGCATGAAGGAAAACATAATAAAATTGAGGACATCTGAGAGAAGGATGAAGAAAATCTGATCAGTGTTTTCTTAGTCATTTTTATATAGTCTTAAAAAGATCATCAGTATCAAATCTCTGCTCTGCTGAGCTATTACGTTTCCGTGCTTACAAGGAGATACTTATTTGAAAACAAACAGCTATTTAAATATGGTGAATTAGTCACTAGCATCAAATTAGTTGTGAGTGAATCACTTCTCAGGTAGCAAAATAAATCTCTTTCTCAAACAACAAGGACTGAAACTTTAAAATATTATGCTTCTCCATATGCACACATTTCTGTTTCTCTTGCAGTGAAACCAACGTTAATCCACACAGACATGTATGTGAATAGCATTGGTCCAGTGAACGCTATCAACATGGTAAGTTTCTAACGCTTTTTGTTGATCTTATTAGCATATTAGAGAGGGAATGTGGTATCATGGAAATAGCAAGGAATATTCCAACAATAACAAAAAAAGAAATGGAAGGGAGAGAGAATCTTTCAGATCTTTTTTTCTCTCTTGTGACATAAATATAATTAGTTTTAATGATTTGTTATGAAAATTACATGTATGTATAAAACTATATGTGTAAAACTAACGTGTGTAAAATGCTGTAATTTTAAGATTCAACAATCATTGCTTCCTTGGTAGGTACTCCCTACTACAAAATGAAACCTAGCTCTCTACTGCATCTTAGAATATTGATGGTGTGGAGAGGTCATAGTTTGTTTCAAATCAAAATTGTTTCTCAGAGGAAATAGTGCATTAGGTGTAACAATAAATGTAACTTTGCTCTTCTATAAAGCTTTCTATTCAAATCTGAAATAAGAAACTGGACAGGAGTCTATATAGAATAGAACAGAGTCCAGTAGAACATACTGTAACGTAACATAACATGGAATAATGTACCCTAACATAGAATAGCATAGCTATATTATAACTTTAAAATAGTGTTTACCAAGCAAGCAGTAAGGACACTGGGCTGAGTCAGAGAGACAGATGAGAAACTTCCATTGCTGCTCAATAAAGGATACTGACACCTGCATGCTCCTTGCAAGTTAGCTGCTTGTTGATCCATTAACAAACGCCAGCATGTTTCTTCTTCACAATTAAAATTCTCAGAATAGTTAGCATTCTGATGCAAGATATAAAGCAGCAGCAGCAGGCAGCTGTGTATGTAGTTTATTTAACCACAGGACTTGGAATTTCAGGCATACTAGTGCCCAGAACCACTGTCCCCAGATCAATTTATGAAATACTAGTTGAGAGAATCTTAAAGCTTGTGTGTGTATGTTTGCCAAATGTAAGATCAGAAGTTACTGAGTTACTCTGTCTACTGGCACATCACTAGTTAGTTGATAAGAGAATTTCGTGGAACTGTTTCTGCTCTCATTACATGGGGACTGCAAGCATGGAATTAAACAGTGAACAAAGTGGTATGACTTGCGCCAGTGGAAGTGTAGTCGGTTACTGTGAGATACTGGGGCAGGAGGCACAAGGAAGGTAATCCAGGACAATGCAAATGAGGCAAAGAAAGAAGATTCTAGTCTGATCCTGACAGGTTGCTTTTCTTGGGCAAATAAATAATCTCCCTGTTTTTCTGTGTTCATTATAAACGGTGGCGGGTTGAGGGGATCAGACTAAGAAATGGGGATGACTCTCCTAAGAACACGGAGGGTTCTTTTCTTTAATTTTCTCAACAGACATGATTAAAATCAAGTTATCAAATGATGCTAAGTAATATCTAAATATGATAGCCAAATGAGATCTTGAGTGTTCTGACTCCAGGTCTAATTGACATCACACTTTCTTCTCTTTGATGAAAGTCAGTCACTCGCCACTAAATACGTGCAGGGAGGATTCATTACACTCATTTATCATCATAGCATTTTGTGAATACACTTTGTGATAGAGATTAGTACAGTCATAAAGATTCTCTTTTAATTGGTTCATTTCCTCTTGTTTAGAAAAAAAAATGACATCAACTGTAATAGTAAAAAATAAAGACAGTTAGCTTGCATTGGGTGTGTGCTGTCTGCCAGACCCGGCAGAGAGCGCCTTACGTGTCTTCCCCTTCGTTTCCGTCCTCACCCTACATGACAAGGAAGAGTCTTGAGCCTCACTTTTTTTGTGTGTGTGTGTGAGGCAGCTGAGCCTCCAGAGCTCCAGGTTAGGGCTGTTTTGAGTTTTCTGGACTTTCTTTCACTCTATAGCAGTGATTCTGAATGTGGGTGGTTGATTTCCTCAAGAGACAATTGGCACTGTCTGGGAATATTTTAGTTGTCACGATTGAGGGTGGGGCTTGGTGCTACTGGTTCCCAGTAGGTAGAGGCTAGGAATACTTAGCAAATATCCTAAAATACACAAGACAGCCCTCACAACAGAGAGTTAGCTGGCCCAGAATAACAGGAGAAACTCTGCTCTATAAATACCGAATGCAAACGGCTGTATCAGGGTGATGATCTTTTGCCAGAAATCACTTAGACAGGTCTGTTTTCTCACAATATCATCGTCTTGTCTATGAAAGATGGGTGAGTCTCCTTAGCAAAGCTTTTGCTTCCTTTTGGACTATTTGAAGCCAGAGTAGCTTTGCTTTTTGTATTAGCCATGAGAACATAAATGAAAAATCCAAACAGATGCTCTATTCTACAGTCCTGCTATATTAAAGATGTTCCATTTCATCTTTTTCTTTAAAACAGGAATATACAATTGATATATTTTTTGCCCAAACATGGTATGACCGACGTCTGAAATTTAACAGCACCATTAAAGTCCTCCGATTGAACAGCAACATGGTGGGGAAAATCTGGATTCCAGACACTTTCTTCAGAAACTCCAAAAAGGCCGACGCACACTGGATAACCACCCCCAATAGGATGCTGAGGATTTGGAATGATGGTCGAGTGCTCTACACCTTAAGGTATTCTTTTGGAAAAGGAAAGAAGCGATTGCTGGGGATGAAACAAAGATCAACCATATTTTCCCCTCTTTTTTTAAAATCTTTTTTTTTATTGAAGTTTATAGTCAGTTTACAATGTGTCAGTTTCTGGTGTACAGCCTGATGTTTCAGTCAGACATACACATACATTTATTTGTTTTCATATTCTTTTTTTCATTATAGGCTACTACAAGATACTGAATATAGTTCCCTGTGCTCTACAGAAGAAACTTGTTTATCTAGTTATAGATAGTTAATATTTGCAAATCATAGTCTCTTAAAACAAAAAGAAAAAAAGATGTCAAGCCTGCGTCAGAGCTGGCATGCTTGATCTAAATAGTATGAGATGCTATGCAATTAGCTTTTCTTTCTGGTGTCAATGAGCCTATTCAAAGGACTAGACAAAGGTAAAACCTCGTTTATGGCTGATGTGAGAACTCTGCTTTCTCACAGGGACACGGAATTTCCCTTGCATTCGTAAGACCATCTGGCCTTTACACCAATCTTGGCTTATGTGCGTGTGTCCTGTTACTTTAAAATATGGACACTAAACCCACAGTCAGTCATCCTTAGGACCACCGGTTCTTATGTTTGGGAGTGTTTCCGTCTCCAAGGAAACCACTGCTAACGGAGGATTTCTGATGTGGAAATTCCTGTACATCCTTCTCTTTCTAGCTTCACAATGGCAAGTAACTAGAATGACTTCCATCTCCCAGCACCCACTACAGTGATAGGCTGTTTGACTTAATTTTTTTTTTTTCTCTTTTGGGAAGAGAGATTTTGGGGAAAACTTGAAGGAGACCTCTTGTCTATTCTGAACTTAAATATTAAGTAACATTTGACAGGTTTTCTTCTTCAATTACTTTATGCCATTATCTTATTAACACTTACTGATTACATGCATTTAAAATATTTTTACATCTAAGTTTCTCATTGGTGAGAGCATATTATTAAATCAACATAATAGTACGTAGACTTAAGAATCAGGCAAACCTGGCTTTATTAGCTCTATGTCAGACTGTCTGTGTTAGAGTAGTTCTCCAGGATTCCTGCAAGAGAGGCAGCGCCTCATGGGATGTACAGCACTGGGGACAGCTGTCTGGTAGCAGGGGTCTTGGTGCTAGAAGAATCTCAAATTTTTATTTGGTTAGGAAGTTTGGGTTTTTACTTGGTTACATTTTCATTTAGAGGAATTAGGTGAAATTTGGTGAAGATTTATTGCCAAAGAAGACACCCCCACACCATGACATGTCCCCTGCCCAAGATACTCTCTGGTACTACACCTAAGCAAACATTTACCTTTCATTTTTAAAATTGCTATAAAATAGAGTTAATGATTCTTATCTCACAGAGTTGTAATAAGGACTAAGTGGGGTGATATGTGAAGTGCTTAACATAGAGCCTAATAAAAAAAATGTAAGCAAAGGAGATACTTAAATTATTTGTATATATTTTCAGTAATAGGTGTGACTAATATGATTCTTCTAGATCTTAGTGTCCAGGAACCTGGAACTTCAAAATGGTTCCTGTTAAATAGCCTTGTGACATATATTTCATGCTGTATGTGATATCCAAAATACAAAATATACTTTAAACTGGATCCAAATCCTCTCTGCCATCAGTTCTATCAGTGAGTAGGAAAAATGGCCACGATTACAAAAGAAATTCATCGCCCATATTTTGACTTCATCATGGGTTTTTATTAAATTAGAAGTAAGGTAGTGACTGGAATTAGAATCCAGTGGAAATCAAAGTTTGTCCAATAAATAAGAGCTCAGTCTAGTTTGAAGTACTAAGTAAAGTCACACTATCGGAAGTCCTTTATCATTCTAATATGATAGTCAGTTTTCCATTTCTATTAACTTGCAGAATCACTATACAATATTTAATTATGGAAACCACCTCAAAAATGTCACTTATGAGATTCATCCAAGATTTGAATGAGTTGCTAATCTGTACAGAGAGATGATTTTATTCTTGTGGCTTATCTATAATGAGTTATGAATGTGCATGTATATACATAGACATATATCTATGTACCTATCTGCAGTCTACATTATTTTCAATTTTAACAGTTCCAGTTTAATTTGGAGAAAAAATACTAATAAAATACCAAATTTAATTAAAGTTTCACTTATGAATAAAACTAATCTTTTCTTTGGAAGAGCATATAATTATTTAGCTTTGGAGGCGTAATCTTGGGTTCAGATCTCAGCTACGCCACTAGCTTTGTGACTTTGGGCAAGTTCAAGTACAATAAAGCCATAATAACACTAAACTTGCCTTAGCCAGTGCCATGGGTACAACTAAGGAGTCAGGGATCATTAGTTACATTTTAAGATCAGTAATTGCTCTGTTATATCACAGAAAAGTAAAATCTCCCCAATTAAAAATGATGCTAAACTGTAAAATCTTTCAAAATAAAACAGTTTGTAAAATAACCTTTATTGCTTTTAGATTGATATCTGCACATTGTAAGAACTGTCGCTAACAAATATGAAATTTGGAAAATCATCAACCCCTCACCTTTATAATTTTACAGTATATTCATACTTCCCCAAAGGTGATCAAAACATCTAGGACTCACTTATATTTTCTCTGTCCTAGAAACCCAGCCTATATTGGGATCCAGAAGATCTCAGTAAGCACCCCAGCTACAAACGAATTGGGACTCATTGGCAGACAATTTTTTGATATGTCTCTATATCCATATTTAACATGTCTGGATTGCCATAAGATACTGGTGTCCTCTGTAACATCCTATCCAATGGTTTCACAGTGTTCCTTTGTAAGAATGCATAACACTCCATTTGTGAAACACAGGTATTTTTAAACTCACATATAGTAATTTAAAGCTAACATCTAACAAGTACTTACAAACAGAAGGTTCTGCTTTAATTAGCAGATAAGATCGGAAAATTATCTGCATTCATTTACACACAAACAGCAAGTGAGCTTAAGTTCTTAAAACAGTTTGTTCTAGTAAGTACATTAAGTGCATTCTGAGCAATCTCATTTGTGCAGTTACTTTGCCCTCAAAATAAGGTGATCATAAATATTGAATACATGGAGTTGAGGTCAGTGAGATCCTATGGTTTGGTCTGTGAAAATAAATGGACTGCATTAAGTCTTAAATAATTTTCTCCTGGACTTGGTGGATTTCTTCAGTGAGGATCACCTTGGGTTATCAATAAGAATGGGTGACATACTCTCCGGGAATGAAACTGAATGGTCATTAGAAAATGTGCTTGTGTACTTTTTTTTAAACTGTCTAAAATCTCTGTTTATGTTTCATATCTTCCTGTTTAGGTTGACGATTGATGCTGAGTGCCAATTACAGTTGCATAATTTTCCAATGGATGAACACTCCTGCCCCTTGGAATTCTCCAGTTGTAAGTAATGCTCATTTGATGTTCTGTAACTCCTCTCACCAGTCGCCCTTCTGATTGCAATATCAATTAATTGGGAGACTTACAGAGAATGTAGAATTGCAGTAAGTGATGTTGTTGACTTTGAAGATTTTGATAATCTTTTTCATTGTTAAAAAAAGAAAAAGATCTATTTTATCAGGAGTTACAAATAGATTTCATTGGGGCACAAACTTTGAATAAATTGGCAGTGGTTGCCTGGAGCCCTTTGTTGGGAAAGATTGTAAAGCCAGGCCTGGTATCAACAGAAAGGGGCAATGGTTGATTACACATCTCCGCTCCCACATGGGCCCAGGAGAACAGAGGACCAGTATGTTTGCTCGTTGCTTTCTCCCTTTATGTATCAAAAAGCATAGAGATCCCACAATGTTTGTTCACTCCAATTTTGATACACCTGTTAAACAAAATTGAAAATTACCTCCCTCCACCTGGAGTTTTAGTAATATCTAGAACTAGGTATCCACCAGTGAGCAAAAGACTGATTTTTGGTGCCACGTGGGTCCAATTCCAATCCAATCCCATCACTCTAGACTTGAGCGGATTACTAAGTCTCTCAGCGAGTCCACAACACAGGTGCCCAAAAGAGATGATAAGACCTGCCTCACCTAAATGTTGTTTTGTTGATGTAATAATATATGTACAATGTTTGGGTGCTACCTCACACATAGTGAGATTCAATCAGGAGCTCTATTACTTTATTAATTATTATTATCATCGGAAAATAGACGATAGCGAGAAGATCCGTGGTGATTCTAACTCAAATTAAGCTTTAGTAACCTTCACAGATACCTCCTGCCTGAATCAGAAACAAGCCTCAGTTTCCCCCACATGTTCGCCTCACCATTTGTTCAACATTCATGTTAGATTGCTCACCTCCTCCTCATTTCTGGTCTGTCAATTGTGCGTATGAGGGAGAATGGAAAACTAATTATGAATTTTAAATTATACACACAAACGTATATACACACATATAATTTCCCAGCAAGGGAGTGACAGAGAATCTTAAGAGCCAACTAAATCATAATAACTATACTTTCAATGAAAAGAAAAAAATGAGAAAAGCAAACACAAATTTCACTAAACATCATGTCCACAGGCAACCAAAGGGAAAATTCATTGTGCATTATATATACTGAGAAAAATTCCCATGATAAATCTCACTCCATATGTTTTACTTCATCCAAGAATACAATATTTTTCAGTGGAAGCTTCCCTAAGGTTTA